GCCCCCGCCCGCGCGCGGCCGGCCGGCCGGCTAGCGGATAGCCGCGTCGTCGTTGCTGGTGGCATGGCCGCCTCCCGTGCTGCTACCAGCGTCGGTGCCATCTGCTGCTCCGTTGAGGGCCACCTCTTGGCGAAGACGGGACACCTCTCGCTGCGCCTGCGAGTGCGGGCCGAGGTGGAGCTGTCCCGCAAACTGCTCCGACAGCTTGCGAAGCAGCGTCGGCCTCGCCGTCGTGGCATTCGTCGCCACCGCGCTGCCGCTGCCGCCGCCGCCGCTGCTGGTCGGACGCCGCCCGCTCGCGCCCGCCTCGTGGTCGACGTCGGAGTCCGCCTGCACCGAGATGCTCTGCAGCTGCGGGCCCGCCAACTCGCTGATGGGCGGCGAGCGCATACGGGCGATGGGCGACGCGGCGCGCAGGCCCAGGCTCGTGGCCGCCGTCGCAGGCAATGCCGTTGTGGCTGTTGCTGTCGCTGCGGTTGCTCCTGTTGCTGCTGCTGCGGCGGCGGCGGCGGTGCTGGCAGCGCTCAAAGTGAGGTGCCTCTCGTACGCCGGCGAGAGCGGTCGCGATGCGGTGGGCGTCGAGCGACCCGACACGGGCGAGGCGGGCCGGAAGCCGCCGTGGACGCTCGGCAGCCGCCGCCACGTCTGGTGCCACGCGTCGAGCAGCGCCTGGTCGTCCTCGGACGACGCCGTCGACGTGGTGCTCGTGGGCGACGAAAGCGGAGCCCGCGCCCGCGCGCCGCTGCCGCTCGTCGACGTCGTCGAGACCGACGAGTTGCTCACCGCGCTGCTCCGCCGCGCCATTCCGGGAGCGCGCGCCGAGGTCGGTGTCCCGCTCCTCGATCGCGTCTCGAGCGGCGCAGGACGACGGTTCGGGTGCGCGAAGCGGCGGATTGGAGCGTCGTCGGCGACCACCGTGCTCGGCGAATCGACCGCCACTGCCGTCGACTGTGCGATCCGCGCATCAAAACCGCTGCTCGACGAGGCGCTCGAGGGCCACGGCGACGCGAGCGAAGATGCCGCCAGCGCCTCGGCCGTCTCGGCTCGCGACACGGGTCGCACGATGGCGACACCGTCGACGTCGGTGCTGAAGGAGCTCGGCCCCTCCCAGCGCTCTCCGTTGGGGTCCGAGTTGGGCTCGTAAGGCGGGATGTCGGTCGGCATGGCCGCATAATCCTGAGCGACCGCGTCGCCTTCCGTTGGCCTGCCGTCTTGCTCGCCGCCGCCCAGACCCAGGCCCAATCCGAGGTGTCGCGCGTGAACGTCCGAGTGCGACCGCGCGGCCTCGCTCTGCGCCCGCTTGGCCGATGCTCGCGCCGATCGCAGCGCCTGCTTCCACTCGTCCGACGGCCCCGCGTACGAGGTGTACCTCTGCTCGCCCGTGCCCGGCGTCTCGGTGACGACGTTGAGCTTCTCCGACTTGTCCGGCGTGCGGGCTGCAAAGACGACCCGGATCGACTTGTGCAGGTAGATCTTCGGCTGGGGTGCCGGCTTCGACGTGTCCGAGGCCTTCTGGGCAGGTCCGAGCTCGCCGATTCGGTCTCGGCCCTCGAAGCCTGGGTCCGCCTTGCGCTGCTTTGGAGGCGGCACTGGCGGCGAGCAGAACTGCAGGTGGACAGCGTAGCGGAGCTTGTCCTTGGGCGTGGCTGGCGGCTTGCTGGTCTGCGAGCTGGCCAGGGTGGTCGGAGTCGGCGCTGGCGAGTCGCGGCTAGGGATGTGGCTTGGCGTGCGGGGACCAGCCGCCGCTGGCGTTGCCTCGGTGCCGGGCAGCGGCACGACGACCATGCTCTTCTGCCGGATAAAGGTCTTGGTGCCCGCGGGCATGTCGGTGAGGTCGTAGGGGACGAGAAAGAGCTTGACGGCGGTGAGGTTCTGGTTCTTGATGACGAGCTGGATCTGGCCTTTGGGCGGTATCCGGTAGCCGGGGAACGAGGCGAGGTCGCCCGCGGCGGCGGCCGGGTCTGCCACGCCGACGCTCCATGGCGCTGCTGCGTCGGCAGCCTGCTGCGCTCCTGTGCCGTGGGGAAGCAGCTGGGCGTAGTAGTGCGACTCGAGATCGACGGTGCCGACGTAGGGGCTGCCGAGGGCACTGGAAGCGTCCGTGTCCGGAGCATTGAGGGCGCTAGACTGCTTGAGGTCGTAGAAGTGCGCGGGGAATTGGAGGTTGAGGTGAGGGGGGCAGCGGAGGGCTGGGCGGCACTTTCCGAGGCCGAGGACGCCGAGCTCTGCGTCAAAGGTGAGGGGCTTTGAGGCGGGCATCGACATCCTGCCGCGCAGCAGCGACTCCTCGTAGGAGCCGATGAGGCTGCCAAAAGTAGGGGTGGGGCTGTAGCCGATAAAGCTCTGGCCCGACAGGCGCCGGCGGGCGTTGGGAGAGTGGTGGAAGGCCGAAGAAGGTGCGGGCGGCGACGAGGGGCAGAACATGTCGGGAGACCAGAGCGGGCTGTGCCGGAGGGGAAAAGAGGGTGGACCGCTGACGTTGCGTGGGGTTCCACTGAAGCGCGACGGAGGGCTGCTGGGCAAGCGTGGAGATAGCTTGGAGGGTGCGGAGCGGCCATGGTGGTGGTGGTGGTGGTGGTCGAGGTTGTCGCGAGGGCGGCGGCCGCCGCCATCGTCTTTGTCGTCGTCATCATCATCCGAGAGCTGGAGCCGTGTGTCGCCTCGAAGTGCCGAACGGCTCAGGGGGCTGTTGGGGAGGCCGGCTGGCGTGCCAGAGGAGTAGTGTGGAGGATGGGCGGAGGGGAGTGAGGTTTGAGCTCGGTGCGGGGTGCGGGTGTGAGGGAGGAGCGACGTACCTGTGAGCGTCATGGTGATGGTGGTGGTTGTGGTGGTGGTGGTGGTGGCATCAAGAAGAGGCGGGCGAAGAGGGCGTGCGCGAGGGCGATGGATGTGTAGGCTGGTGCCAGGATGGTTGACTGGGCGGAGAAGATGCGGAAGCGGATCGAAAGCGGAGGGGAGGTGGGCGGCCGAAAAGAGAGCGAGATGGCGAGGGGGGGCCGAGGGTGCGTGAATGGAGTGCCGGATGCTAGCCGCGGACGAGGGGAGGTGCGGGAGCGGTGTGGTGTCGACGATGAGGGCAGTCGAGATGGAAGACAAGGGATAGAGGCTGGAGGTGGAATGACAGGCCAAGCCAAGCAAAGGAAAGGGGCCGAGGATGCTGTTGGGTCGGGGCCGGGTCCAGGCTGGCCAGGTCAGGGCCAAGGTCAGGGTCAGGTCCAGAGCTCTCTACCTCGTTGTCACGCCCCAGCCCTCGAGGCTCAGCGGGCGGGCGTGACTCGCTGCACCCACCGCACGCATCCTCGACCCGCCCTCTGTATCTGCGCCCTCGGCCCTGCGCCGTGCCGCCGCCCCGCCCCGCCGCTGTGCCGCCGTAGGTGGACCTGACCCCCGGACCGCCCGGCAAGCCAGCCTCCACTTTTGGCCCAGCCAAGCCAAGGCTGACCCGCCTGCCTGCCTCGCTCGACGGCTCTCATCGCTCCTCGTCGTCCCGTCCCGCAGCCGCACAGACAGGCCGGGGAGCAACAAGCGCGTCCAACCGCAGCAGCCAGATGAAATGTCCATGTTGCCTCCCAAGCGGTGCCTCCGAAGCGGCCTCGAATACAAGATATACGACTCCTACTCCTACAAGGCGGCACTCGCTCCGATACAGGCCGAGCCACGAGGGCCGACCAGCGAGGGCATGCCAGACATGCTTCACGGCAGGGGGGTTCCGGCCATGGACCCAAGGCGAGGCAGCGGGCAAAGAGCCATGACGACGGAGGTGGCGAGGGGAATGGCGAGGGGAATGACGAGGGAGGTGGCGAGAGGAATGTCGAGGGGAATGACGAGGGGAATGGCGATGGGTATCCTGGCACAGACGCACACGATGCCTTCCGCTCGCAGCCTGGCCTGGCCCCTACCCGCGCTTCTCTGGCGGGTACTGGCCCGCGCCTCCGTGCGAATGGGCGTGCCCGTAGCCTCCTCCTCCTCCTCCTCCTCCCATGGCGCTGTCGTAGCCCGGCGGTCCGGTGCTCGACTGCCCCTCGTCATAGTAGCCGCCCTGCCCCTGGTGCTGGTGCTGGTACTGGCCCACCGACCCTTCCCTCGCATCCTCGTACCGCGTCGGCAGCCGCTCGTGCTGCCCCTGCCCCTGACCCTGCACCGCACCGTGGTGCCCGTAGGCCGAGCTGGCATAGTTGTCGTACCCGCCGCCCCCGTACCCGTCCTCGGACGCGTGCGCCTCGCTCCTCGACCCGCCCCGCTGCCCCGCCAGCGTCGTCGCCGCCGCAGTCAGCCCGAAGCCGTCGTCCAGCGTCGCCTGCCGCCGCGACGGCGACGCCGCATCCGACCCGGAACCGCCGCCGCCGCCGTACGGGATCCCAGAGTTGGCCGCCTGGTCAATCGGCGACACGGGCGGAATCGCCGGCAGCAATCGCGGTGGGCTCTGCATGCGCGTCCCGCTCTGGCTCGCCTGTCGCTGCTGCTGCTGCTGCGGGTATGTCGATTGCGGCTCGTACGACGAGTACTGGTGAGCACCGCCATGGCCGCCGCCCACAACGGCCGCGCCGCCAAACGTGGCGCCGCTGTAGTCGG